ACCCTAGGAGGCTGAGGGAGGAGGATCTCTGTCAGCTAGAGGCCAACCTGGGTTACATAGTAAGTTCAAGCCCAGCCTGAATTACATGGCAGCCCCTACCTCAAAACAAACAAAACAAAACATGCCTGGGACCAAGGATATAGCTCAATGGCACAGCGCCTGCCTGGCAAGCATGAGGTCATGAGTTCGATTCCTGATACCGGAAAAAAACAAAACAAAACAAAACAAAACAAAAAAACCCAAACATGTCCAGAAGGTTTTAAATCTAGACATGATTTTCAGGCAGGGAAACTGAAGCTCTCTCAAAGCTACAGATAATCCTGTTCTCCAAAGAAATGTTTCCCATTTTTGCTAGGGAAAAGGGAAAGTTCTAGTAGAAGGTTCGATAGGCTGCACTAAAAGAACAATCAGAGGAGCAAGCGATCAGACATTAGATTGTTGCCACAAGCATGATATCCTTGCGCTAAGCAAGTAGATAGCTCAGCTTTTTAAAAGTCAAATAATGTTGTTTCAGTTTGTAAAACAAAATCACCTGTCATTAAGAGTTGAATGTGCGAGGTCACACAGGACTTCTACAAACCACATTAGATAACAGAGAGAAAAAAAATGGTCTGGTTTAGTTTGACACAAAATTTTACAAAATGAGACAGAGTCAAATACTGAAAATCATGGATTAACATCAACCAAAAACCAATTAACTAATCTATTTCTAGATTCTCACCGGACAGCCAAACATTGCAGGATTTCACATATTGTATCACCGATATGTTAAAATACATACAACAAGCTTAAATGGAGCATACTGGGGAACAAACACACACTCTGCACAAACTGTAATTTTACTTCATTTCTCAAAATTCTGCAACTTTCAAATAAACAGCAGCAGAAACAACAGCTGATCTGAAGGACCCAAAAGCAAGACCATCACTAGCTGTACGTAACAATAGTAGCAGATACAATGTGCGCTGTTTCTCTGAAGGTGGATAAATCCATGGACCATTTCAAGAAAGGTTAGACTACGTGTGTGTATATGTTTGTCTTACTTACAGTACATTCTCAGCATTGAAAAAGAGGCCACTCGTGTGCGCTTTTGAAAGAAACAGCTAGCATTCCTGAAGAAATCACAATGGAGGGGTTGTTGATACGTGTTGGGAATATGCTCACTTATGGGTACACTCCATGCAACAATTTTCTCTTCCTCTCATCCTGATCTTCACACCCGTAATAGTTTCAGAACAGGCGAGGAAAATGACCTGCTTTTTCAACCATTATATCCCCCAGATGTGACTAATTTGAAGCTGAGAAAATTGCTCGTAATAGGCCAGGGATGGAAGTTCAAGATTTTCAGTCTGCTGTCGTCTTGGTGCAGGCTGCAGCTGCCTCTTCCGAACTAAATTCACCAAACATGAAATCAAAGGAGAATGATTTTTAAATTTTTCTGCGTGCTTATTTTTAAGAAGGATAAAGATTAAGCTATATCTTTGGAAAATTTATTCCTTTCCTTCAGGGGTTCTTAAATTTTAAAACGAATGCTAAATACTAAAGAAGCTAGCCACTTAAGAAGCTTTCTGTGTCTAGAAGGAAACAATCAGATGCCTGATTTTATAGTGGCTCTAAGTTTGTTGTTTTGTTTTTTTTTTTTACAAAAGCATGATATAAATCACTGAATTTATACTCCAAGTTGTCTTATATTAACTTCCAGAGCCTTTTTTTTGCCAAATCCCATGAAAGGTTTAGCAGCAAGAAAGACAAACACAAACAAATAATCAAACTTGATAAGGAGACTGTGGGGGTGAGGAAGGACTTAAGCTGGCTGTACCAAAACTCCAACTTTCCCATTTGCTTTTATGGCTGACATTTTTCACACCAATTCCAGAAAGCACAGCCACATACCAATCCAGATACCTTGTAAAACAGTGCTACAAGGATTACACAACTGGAACTGAAAGAGACTTTAAACTCATTCCCCCACCAGCAAGGACACAAGCCCATGTGTTGAGAGCCTTCAGGGCTCCTGGCCTGTCACAGTCTTCTGGGGTGGTGGCTGTGGGTTTTCATGTGGGGGAATTCTGCGTGGGGTGCTTAAACCCTCCCGGTCAGGAGCTTTGCAGCCTGGATCCTCCCTTCTTAATCCGCCATGTCTCCTTCCATGACAGGCAGCCGTGAGTAGGAAGGACCATGGCCCTTTTGGCATGCACTTCTCCTTCTCTGCCTTGGCCTCCTGCAGATGTACTGGGGAGACACCTCACCCCGCACATTGGGCCCCTTGTGCAGCAGCAGCATTGGGCAGTGAGTTCTGTTCCACCTTGGGGGAGAAGATGTGTTGGTTCTTAAACTTCATCTTGACTTTCTGGGTCATAAATTCTTCTTCCCACTACCTATCCCACGTTGCTGAAGTTCTATTCTTTGTTTAGTTTCATTTACTTGCCAAGGTAGGGAGGAAGTTGGGTGGGAGAGCCTATCACTTACCTTTGGTTAAGATTCCTTTCCCAGGCTGGGCGTGGTGGCACACGCCTGTAATCCCAGCACTCAGGAGGCTGAGGCAGGAAGATTGCTGTGAGTTCGAGACCAGCCTGGGCTACAAAGTGAGCTCAAGGCCAACTTGAACTGCATAGCGAGACCCTGTCTCAAAAAGACAAAAAAAAAAAAAAAAAAGATTCCTTTCCCATATTTGGGTCTTATAGCATACCTAATTCCTAGGTTTTTTTAAGAGGCAAAAAATTACTCTCCAGTAGGAAGCTGAAAGGCTAAGGCACTATTCATCACGGGCTCGTTCTAGTGTGTCCAGTTTCAGAACTAGCAAGAGAGGAGGGGAAAGGTGAGGAGTAAACTCATACCATACAACAATTTTACCCCGAGGAATAGTACACACAGATATTTTCCTTCCCCAAAGAAAGTTGGACCTGAAGCAGTTTATTCACGAAGAGGACCTGCCATCCACGGTGAGGTTGTCTGCTATGCTCACTAAGTTCTATGGGAAAACAATCCACTACTCTACATACCCCACACAAGCTCTGCTGTGAACAAACAGCTCTTCTGCAGCTACAGCACCTCCAGGGTCCAGCAGCCCATCACAGGGCTCCTTGGACCTCCTCCTAGGCAGTAGTAAGATTCCAGAAATCCTGCTCCTTCCAGAAGCGCCCTAGGAAGCTCCAGCGAGGTTAAAGGGCTCTCCAAACCCAGGAGATCAGCTTCAGCAAAAGAAAACGCAGTGCACACCAAGAAACTATGTGTAATGGCTCACTGCTTGTGCAAAAACCTCAAAGAGGATGAAGGTCAGACAGGGATAATAGGCCAATTTAATTCTGAAAGCACAAGGTGCAAGAAATTTTAATTATGGTCTGCCACTGAAATCACACAAGATCCAATGGCATCTAACTGCAACTGCTCACCAAGAGGTGTAATTGTAACCGCTGCATAATCACCGAGGGTGAGGGCGCAGAGGGCTGCCCTGGGCTCCCAGCAGAGAAGGTATTAAAAGCCTCGAAAAATCCAATACAGGGAAACATGGAGATTGTGCGGAGCCAAACAGGCTTTCAGCACACAAAAGCCAAACCGGGGTGCGTGCGTGTGTGTGTGTATGTGTGTGTGTGTGTGTGTGTGTGTGTACGCGCGCACGCGCCGGCGTGTGCACCGAGGGTGAAGGTTCCAGAAATAACAAGGCGAAGCTGTTTGGCCCACCTTGAGGACAGGCGCGAGAAAACTCTGCGCTCTTCCTGCTTCGCGGACACGAGCCCACAGAAAGGCGCGATCTCCCGCGGAAACCGCACTCTTCCTGAAGCTTCTCGCACTCTCCTTTGTCTAAAACAATTAGCTCGGATGTTACGGTGATTTCCAGGGCCAGGCTGTCCGTAACGTTGTTCCCCCATCAGACCCAAGTCTGCAGGCAAAACGCCCGGCATGCAGCCCGAGTCGCCCACGCCGGTGCAGCCCGAGGGGACGCGCGCGGGACCCCGTCCGCCGCCTCCACTGCGCAAAGTTTGCCGGGCCTGGAAGGAGGCGCCGAGCCTTCCCTCCGCGCCGCTCGAAGCTGGCGCTGAAGTTCGTGCCGGGATGTCCCAAACGCGCAGGCGGGGAGGGGACGCGAGCGTGGGACCCGAGAAGGACGCGTGGAGGTGGGGCGGCGGCGGGGGAGGCAGGTTTCCCGCGCGGACTGTGCCGAGCCTGTGAGCTCCGAGGTCCCGGAGTGCGCGCCGCTGGGGGTCTCCCAGGGTGGGCGCCGTCACCCCAGACTCGGAGCTGTCACCTGCGGGAGACCAAGGGCTCCAGACTCGCCGGCTCCAGGGCTCTAAGAAGTGGGGGCGGGGACAGCAGGCCTAAGAAACACCTTTTTTTGGTGGGGGGACGCTCTTCTCTTCCAGCTCCCCAACTCCGCGGGGTGCCAAGGACCCTCACACCCTCCCTGCCCGCGCCACCTCCAACCCGCAGCTAAGATTCGTGCACCGCGGTCCCCCGTGGGCACCTGAGAGGGCGCGAAGGCTGGGACCCCAAATGCAAGCGTCACCCCAGCAGGGACATTCGCGCATGCAGAGCCCCGGGTGCGCGCCGGGCGCAGCTCCCCGACTCTCCCGTTGTTCTCCTAAAGTGGACTCCGCTGCCCTCCGGGAGCTGAAGGGAAGCGAACCCGGAGAAAAAGGGGGGCGGGAAAAAAGCGAAGCGGGGGGGGGGGGGGGGGGGGCGATCAACTTCGCAGCGCAGCGAGTCCTCGGCGACCGCCGCCAGGCCTCAGATCCCCACCCGCCACCCCCTCCGGCCTTTCAAGTGGATACTGAAACTAGGCCAAAACTTTTCCCCTCCTTTTCTCTCGGCCACTAGACTGGATTGTGTCCCACGGAGCCCCATGGAGCTCTGCTTTCTTAAGCACAATAGCCGGACTAATTAGATCATAGAAGCGAGGCAGTGATACTGTAACAACTCGCCCAAGAGGCCAGGGGGAAGGGGCCGGGGACGCGGCGAGAGCGAGCGAGAGGAAGGGGAAAGTTTTCGGCTCCCGCACTCACCGATCAAGCCGCCCACCAGGAAGGCGACGACCTGGAACGCCAGCAGGATCCCGCCGACCACGCAGAGCTTCTTGGTGCTCATGTTCTCTATGATTGCCCCCGCCATCTCCGCGCGCGGGCCCCCTTGCCTTTTATTTTATTTTAATTTTCCCCTTTTCCTCTTGCAATAAACGCTCCAGGGCGTGTTTTCCGCTCCTCCCGCGCGCCCCGCTCCGCGCCTCCGCGCCCCTAGCAGGGCGCCGCCGCAAAACTTCCCGGTGCGCGAGCGCGGCGAGGACGGGGCCGGCCCGGGCGCCAGCCGCTCCGCTCGATCCGCTCGCGCCGGTGCCCGGAGCTGTGATTGTGGCCGCTCCGCCGCCTGTGGACGCTGCAAGGAGCAGGGAAGCGGATCACATGACGCCGCCTCCCTCCCTTTCTTCCTCCCTCCCTCGCGCTTTCTCCCTCCCTCCCTAACCTCGCTCCCCGCCTCTGCCCCTCGCCCGCCCGCAGGGTGGGGAGCGCGGCCCGGTCGGGCCTGCAGCCTGCGCGCCCCGGCCGGTGACCTTCGGGTGCGAGGTTGAGGTGGCGTTGCCCAGTGGGTTCCCCGGGCCCAGCCTCGCCAACATCTCCTTTCCGGGCACCCTGAGTGCGAGGTTTCTTTTCCAGACCGCCTGGAGACCTTTCACTCACCCTTTGACTTTGGAAAACGTTCCCCACCTCCAACGGGTAGAACTCTTTAGGAAACAGGAGGAGGATTTTTGAAAGGAAACCAGTAGGTGCTGAGACGCTGCGCAGCGGTGAGGCACGAAGTCCCCCCGCGCTTCCCTCGGCGAGGTCCGGGTCTCGGCCTCCGGAGCTCAGCGGGGCGCAAACCCAGCTGTCCCTGTGTGCGCCCCTGGAGGGACGTCGCTCCCTACTCCAGCCCCTGGGCGTTCAGGCCTTGACTCTGGCTCTTGCTTTAAAATTTTTCTTTCAAAAAAGGGTTCTACTCCCATCACAATTCTAAACTTGAGTGGGACCTCAAATCGTCCGAAAATCTCCTCTCGGTTTCCCACACCGCCTCCAGGCAGTATCTATGGAAACCCTGTGTGGACACTGTCACCTCCTGTTCTGCGGACCTGTGTGTGCACACTTGTCCCCACCACTGAGCTGTAAATCCCTAGGGATAGAGACCCAGCGTATCCCTCGCGGCGTCCCACCCCGTGTGTCCTGGAACCCTTTCTCTACAGGGATCCTGCATGACTTTAGGAGACAAATAAACAAATGATCGTGAAAGCAAGCCGAAGCCTTTTGCATTTCAAAGGCCTGCAGGGCTCGGTTGGTTTAGACGGTACACATATTAAGTTGCAGTAACGTTTGTCGGCTCTTTGTGAAGATTGATTCGTACATAGCTGCGGGGGACAGCGGTGGGTGGGGTGAAGGTCTTAGGAGATTCCCTGTTACCAAGCCTAAATTCCTGGGCCTGATTTTTTCGGTATTTCCCAAACTCGGCCAGTACAATTTATTACCCAAGGGGTTTGATAATCCCTGTCCCCAACACACAGGGCCCACTCTTGCACACAGGGCCCACCCTTGCACACAGACCTTGAACAGCCCCTTACTCCCCCCCACCCCCTGCCAAGGAACTGTCCTGTGCTCCAGAGACCCCGGAGACAGATAGCCTGCACTTCATAGAGGGATCCTCTCTGTCCGTCTTTGAGTTCACACACCTCAAGGCCGCGGGTTCTCGGTATATCAAACCCTAGCCTCTTGGCCCCTGCAGTTCTTAACAGTTCTGGGGCCCGCTTGCTGTGTGTTCACCCCGCCCCTCAATCCTCTATCCCGCAGAACCCTGAACATGGTCTAGGCTTCTTTCCTAAGCACCGGAGGACAGCAAAATGGCAAAGCTCCTGTCCCCGTCCAGAGGCGCCCGGTCTAGTGGGTGTACAGTGGACCAGGGTTGAGTGCGTGTACTTTGGACACCAGGTACTCTCAGAAGGGGGAACACATTTTGTGTTATCTCAGCAAGCTGCTCACTTCCACCCGTTTGAATAATCATGACGTTTCTGAGTCAAAGCTTCTCTTTTTCAAGCAGATTTTTAAAGAAAAGGTTGGAAGGGCTGCAAATGTAGCTCAGTGGTAGAGCGTGTACTTAGCATGAGGCCTGGGGTTTAAGTCCTAGCGCGCATGCTCACAAACACACACACACATACGGCTGATGGAATTCAATGTATTTACTGTCCTTTCTACACTACATTTCAGCAAGAGAAAAGCCTAACAAACTTACTTAACCAGGATGAAAATCTTCAGAGCAAAGGGCAGGTGCAGGCGAGGTATCTGACCTTATGCTTAGGTTTGACGAAGCAGCTACAGCGGAGCAGAACTATGACTGCACAGAGTGGGTGCTCGTGGGAACAGGCTGAGTGGGAGACCCAGCCAGGCCTGTCTGTCCAGATTCTTCGTGTCCCTCAGTCCTGGCACCTCTTCCAGGAGGGGCTGGATGTCTTTATGGGCAGGAAAAGAGTAGGGTCGTGTTGTGAGGCCCCATGGCTGTCTTGCAGGGAGAAGCGATGTTGGCCATGGCCCTTGACAGTGGGCTGGGAAAGGAATCAATAACCTCATGGACTCCCTCATGGTTTTTTTGCAAGAGCTGACTGTCCATGATCATCATCATTATTATTATTATTATTTTAGGAAACATTAGGGAAACCAGTGACCTGGTGTTAGAAACTAGTAAAATTGGTCATTGAGTAGTTCTTTCTCTACAACTTTGTTATGCTATGAATACTTTTTGAAACCCACTTCTGAAGTCTGGAGGGTTGACTTTATTTACAAAGGTGCTAGTAAGGATACCATTTAGTATTAAACTGCAAGCAACACTTAGTGAGTTTTATGGTAGAAACATTCTACTCTCAAGAGTGCTCCTAACTACCAAGGAAATATCTGCTGTACCCTCAGATAGACTATAGCAGAGATGGAATAATCCAGGGAACAACAACTCCACCAACAGAAACTGATCATTCCCACCCCATTTCCCAAGGACCGAATGGCCTGATCTATCATCTTTCCTTTTTTCTAAGTGTTTGGTGTGTGGACGCCGTCATGATGGCCTATGCATGTCTGCTGAGGATGGATGGGTGGATGGATGGATGGATGGATGGATGGATGGGTAGATGGATGGATGGATGATGGATGGATGGGTAGGTAAGTGAAGCTCCCCACCACCTATTCCTCTGTAGAATTCGCTGGTTATTTTCTTACATAGTACTTACGTACTGGGCTGTTTTGCACATACACCTTATTGTGGGGTGTTGCCCATTTGATGTGTGAGTTCCTTAAACACAGGTAGAGTGTGATCGAGCCTGGTCTCCCTTGGAACTCCAGGAGCATCTTGCACAGAGCTGAGAAAATCCCACTGTCCCTGTAGTACATGTAAGGTAGAGATCTAAGAGACCTGAAGACTTCCCTAGACACTTGGTTCATTTCCGGGGGGGTTGGCGAGCAAGAGCAGTAATCCCACTTGGAGGAGGCACCTGGTTCTCGGGAAAAGCTTTTCCCCATCAAAGGCATCAGGGTGGCTGGTGGTGGGCAGTGTTTTTTTGTAGGTAGGTGTGAGCACGTCCCCCGGGTTCACACTGTATTATTCAGCGTCACTTCACCACTGTGTGTGTGTGTGTGTGTGTGTGTTTCCATGCATCACTTCTTTTAAAATGATTTTCCCCAAACAGAACCACCCCTTCCTTCCTTCCTTCCTTCTCTGGGACCCCAGTATCTTATTTTGTATGGAAATACAAGACCTCTCCTGATGCGGCCTTCCACACACTGACCTTGGGTAGAAACCGTGAAAGCCCTGGGCTGATCTTCAGATGACACAGTTTCATCAGCACCACTGGGCCACTCTCTCTGTGGGCCTCACCCTGACACACATCTGGCAGACATAGACACACATCTTTCGCCCCTTCCATGCAGTCCAGGCAGCAGGCTGACCCTACCCCAGCTGGGGGTCTGACTGGTTGTACAGAGCCTTGGGGAAATTGCTCACGCTTTGATCTCACTATTCCCACTTCTCACATAACGCAATACCCCATGCAGAGCTTCTGACCAGCAGTAAGCGAAACAGTACAACGAGTGCACAGCGCCTAACACAGAGCGGACACAACGCCTGTTGCCAGCGTTATAAGACAGGAGGTTTCTGTTCCCAGAGAGCAAAACAAAACACAACAAACCATAAAACCTCTAATTATAGTCCTGCTTATGAAATCGCCTCTTTGAACCCAGGCAACCTGGAAGGGCAGGTAAGGCGCTTTATAGGTGTCCAGAAGCCTCTAGTGAGAGGCGGGAGCTTGCAGCAGCCAGCCGGCCCCCTGCTGTTTCCCAGACTTGAAAGAGGCCGCCGAGCTGCCTGCTGCAGTGCTCTGAGGCTCTGAGACGCATGCTGGGCCCCAGCAGAGCCGGGCACAGAGCTCTTTCTTCTCCTGCTTCGCACAGCGAGAGCCACTTGGGCCCAGTGACTGCGCCCGAGGGTCCCACGCCCACCCTCCCTCTCCTCTCAGCCTGCCCTTCCTCGTTTCACCTGCTCTTCTTTGTCCCTCTTTGTGCTGTGACACAGGAAGAGACACACCTGCCCGGGATGGGGGTCCCGTGACACACTCACAGCATCCAGCTCCACAGCACAAAGTCAGCAGGCAACACGGTTTTTATTCACTTATTATTTATTTGTGGTACTGGGGATTGGACCCAGGGCTGTCACACTGAGCTACACACCCAGTTCCTTTTTCCTTTGTTCTGCATTTAGAGACAGGGTCTTGCTAAGTCACTGTGTTGCCCTAGCTGTACTCAGACTCACAAGCCTCCTGCCTCGGCCGCCCAGAGTGCTGGGACTGCAAGGTGTACGCAACCATGTTTTGTTGACACACAAGTTCTACCCAATGAATGAATGGTAAGCGAGCAAGTTCCAATCCACTGATAAACAAGCTCCAGTCGTTGGTTGCCCAGGGGCTCAGCAGGCCCCTGGGTGATGGCAGGAAGAGAGGTTTAGACTCATCCACAGCCCTGGGTTAGATGGCGTGAGGGCAGGCTCTGACCCAGGACCAAACCTGGTCTCATCCCACCAGTACTGCCGGAGATGGATGACCCAGGGTGACTAAGTAGCTCAGCATCAAGGGTGGTGTCCCATAAAAGCACTTAGGGCACCTCTATGGGAGATAAAAAAAGCAGAGTTTTTGAGGCTAAACACACAAAAGTCAAGACCCTCTCACATGTCTATTTTTTTTTCCAGTATCGGGAATCGAACTCACGACCTCACGCTTGCTGTGCCGCTGAGCTAAATCCCCAGCCCCTCACATGTCTATTATGCAAAGAAACTGGATGGTTGGGAGTAAGAGAGGACGGGTCAGTCCCCAAACACCCGACAGAGTGGAAGCCAATAGCCCCTCTTAGTACTGTCAATAACTAGAACAGAGGCAACAAGGGGGGCCTGTGTGGTTTGCTTTCTAGGTTCCAGACTCTCGGCTATGTGCTCTACATGTGTTATCCCCGGCCATCTCTATGACAGTGCTAAGAGCTGGTGTGCACGTCCATCATTCTAAGAGGAAAGCTGGCTCAGCAGAATTAAGGGATATTCCCTTGGCCACGCTGCTGGTGGAGCTGAGAGCCGAGATTC